CGAACAGCATTTTGGTCCCATACTGCTTATTGCAGTTCTATTTCAGTAATATTTTTATTTATTGTCATTTACCATGAAGTCAGACACTGACTTCTGTGGAAGATACGGCAGAGATGACAGGAGGCCTATGCACACTGCGAGGCCATGAGAGTTTGAATTAACATGCCTTTATTTGCCCCAGTGTTTACATTGTCTCACCCTCCGCAATTCACCTATCAACTTGACTAAAAACACTTAGGAAAGCCATGAATGGGGAATAAAGATGGTTAGAAGGAGCAGCAGAAATAAGAGCTAGGAGAAATGTAAATTTATGGCTTCACAGTGGTACTGCTTAGGAACTCCAGGAAAGCAGAGAAGATGCTGAAGTAAGCATATGAAGTAGAAGAAATCATATTAATTAAGGCAACAGGGATAAAGTGGGTTGTTCTGCTGGATAGAGAAAACAAAAAAAGGCTCTGAAAGCATGTAAAAAATGTCATTAGTTTCTTAGCAATTAGTAAAAAAGAAGTAGAAATTAGCAAAGGGGAGGACTAAACTCTCAAGATAAATGAAAAAAGCTTATGCACCCAGTAAACACAGCTAATACACTGAACATACTGTTCCAGACATTTTTTCAGCCTCTGTTCTCCCTGTGCAGTAATTTCATATAAAAATAGAATGCATCACCCTCTTAAGCACTGAAATACCTTCTCATTTGTAAGAAAAGCAAATAACCCACCATCAGAAGAAAAAAACCCTCACATTACCTACTGGTGAGGTGGCTCAGCTGGGGCAGGTTGGTCATCCTATGTTTGTTTAGTCTTTGTCAAAGCAAATAGCAAAACCACTTTTTTTTTTTAAATCTGACTTGTGACAGCTGCTTACCTATTTATATCTGATGAAGTTCTTACAGAAAGCCACAGACAGTGCTCTCTTAATCTTTCAGTTGGCAAAGTGCTGTTTACCTTGCATGGGCTCAGCATTCCTTGTTTCCATAAGCAGTTTAATTAGGATGCATGTTCACCCAACAGAAGCAATGAATGGCATGGTAAATAATGGTTGGTAGAGCAGTCTGAAGCATTTCATTGTCAGTGACTTATTATAATCATTGCAATTAAAAAAGATAAAAGGTCAGCCAGGACAGTAACATACAACAGAGGTTTGCTGCTCACCAGATAATTTGCTTTGAGATTGATGTTGCCACACCATTCACCGTCGCATCAATCCTCTAAGAAAAAGCTCCTTTTGTATCAGCCTTAAAATGATCCAATTATCATTTTTTAACTCAGGTCATTTGAGATGATTCAAATGGAATTATCGATGTGCACAATTTCAGTACTTGCATTTAACTGGCCTGTGGTTTCACCTGCTCTGGTGGATTCTGGCAGCATAAAGCTGTACCAGCCATCTATTCCTGTAATGTTTTAAACAATCTGCTGGATCCTGGGACAAGCAGGTGAGCTGTGAGAATAACAGCAAAAATTACAGTGGTACAGAAATCATTGCCTGTAAGGCATTTACATCACCACAGGTGCACTGTCTCGTCACTTGGCACTGCTATGGGCCTATGCATTCTAAAGCAAATTATGTTTTTCTCATGTGTTGAAGTTTTTCCTGAAGCTCTGAAGTCAGAGATGCCCTCAAGGCAGCAGACCTACCTGAGGCAAGCTCTGAAACTTTAAAATTTCCAGGAAATTTAAAAATTCAGCTTGGTATTAACAGCGCTTTCCTCACTGTATTACATATGTAAAGCTCTTATAAGGTTCATTCTCACAGCAACGTTCAAACTGTTTTCAGATACACATATGGCAACTCATATCTATTTATCCAAAAGCAATCAACACTATGTATTCCCACTTCCTTTTTATTTACTGCAAGTAGTGATGGATCTTTATTTATTGATTATAATTCCTTAGTAATTTAAAACTGGTAACATACCAAGCACATCCTTTGCACAACTCACTGACTTCAGTGTTACACCAAAACCTTTAATTCCAAAAGGGCTACAGAGCCTTACAGAGATAAATTGAACTATTACATTACTTCTTGACCAATTCCTGGTTATTTATGGGAATTGGTTTGCCTTTTTTACTTCCCAAGCACTCCAAAATAAGCTCAGAGAATTCAGTACCTTAGAGCACCAGACACAAGTTTCTCAACTCAATTATTTTTTATTTTAACACATTTCTGAAAATATAATCATTATAAGAGTTTCTTGGAGGCACATCTGCTATTAATTATATCCACTGACGCTACTACTGGCATGAAAAAATACAGGCCACCATGTGGATAGGAAAGGGAAATTGCAATTTAAACAATGGAACACACTACACTGAAGGGGTGGATGAACTGACCGTGAGAAAGGCGCCTTGGCATCTACTGCTTTGCAAAAACAATCCCATCAAAGGGGGAGTAATCATCATCAGCTACGTTTGTCTTGTAGCCACAGAATCTGCCGGTTAGTTCACACAGAGAATGATGCATTTGCCAAATGGCACCACCATTGGGTTAATCTGGTCTCGGGAAAGGTCTTGATCAGCCTCAACTGGACCCTGATCTACTTTATTGCAGGTGTTAACTTGCAGTGGGTAATTTTCTTAGTAGAGATTTCGCTAGTTTCTTAGGGCTGAATTCTCAGCTGTAATCTCAGTATCTAAGTGAGCAAAGGCTATGATAATGAGTAGATCAAACAGCACTAACATGTAGCTGGGACAGGGCAAATATTGCCAGACCTTGATGTTGCAAAACACATCAGTTATTGTCAAATCTCCTTGGGCACTTTCACAACCAAAGGATGAGATAAGAAATCTTGAAATCTTTTTATTGTAGTTCTCCCTGTCCTAAGGATAACATGACCTTCCAAAGAGCCAAACAACATGTATTCTAGATTTGGCACAGTCTGAAAGCTAGGAAGCTTTGCATTACAATGACATGTGTGATCAGAATGCTGTACATTTCTTTGTGCCAGCTGTATTTGCTCGACTTTTTAACTTTCTAAAACGTCAAGAATAGCTAGTCACTGAGGCATCTGTACCAACTGAGGCAGCAGGACTAATTCACAGAATGAATTTGAGCTACTGGGAGCTGTCACATTGCACATCTTGACAGAGGCTTTATTCATTGCATTTAACTAGATATTCAAAACTTGATAGACGTATTAAGAACCTAAATCTTGAAATTACCCACAGCTCTATGGAAATGAATCAGCTTATTAATGCAAACACGTAATAGAATGTGAGCTAAGACAGAGAAATATCAAGTCTCTAAAAGCTAATAGAGAGCCAAAGGGTGACCTTGCTCACAAGATGCTGCCTGCAATCCATGTTCTGGGTTCAGTTCCTGCCTCCACTTCATACTTCCATGCTTGAGCTCTGCCTGTGCCTTGCTTGCCTATTAAGGAGACAGTACATCTGCAGTAATGTTTGTCTCCCAACAAGAGCATGTCAAACACTTAACAGCAGCGTTCTGCAGTTAACAGAAAAGTCAGTGCCGCACAATGCAAATAATGGGCAACCACCTACATCACAACATAGGCCAGATTTCTGTAATGACAGGCATCTTTTCTTTCTGTATGTGTTTGCACTGCCCAGAGCCTTGGGACATGTATATTTATTTACATAAAAGGACTTTGGTTTGGGGTTTTTTTATGGTGGTGCTTTTGTTTGCTGGGGCTTTGGGTGTTTGTGGGTTTTTTGAGGGGTTGTTTTGTTTAGATTTTGGGTTTTTTTTAACACCAACATGTTTCACTTTATCTGTGTTTGAGACAGCGCAAGTTGGGTTTGCCTGACAGCTGTCAGGCTCCTGCAGCCAGCAATAAACACTACTCTGCTATCAGTTTTTTATTTTAGTTTTTAAAATTATGACTGTTTTTGAGGGAAGACTGACTGTTTGTACATTCTGAAAAGATTTTGTGTAAACATTACTTAGAGCATATGACTTGCTTCCTAAAATCATTAATAAGGAAATCATTCTTGCAGAACACACAAGCCCTGGCAAACCAAACAGGTGCCCTGTAAAGGAGATTTCATGCCATTGTCATGCACTTAATACAGTCCAGAAATATTTTTCATACACTAAGACTACAACTTCAGCTCTTGGTAACATAACTTTTCAGTAACTTGAAAAGGCAAAATAAATTTTCATTCCCCCTTGCACCCTTCTTAAACTTTTCTGCAGTTACTAATGTGCAACAAATTAGCATGTGTCTTGATTTTCACATCTTTTTTTTTTCCTCATTAGTAGTTAAAGACTATAGTTCCAAGCCAGATGGGGAACTAGGCAACTTCTGAATATTTAAGGTATTTATGGGACAATGTAACACTAGATTGTGTGTCTCAGTCTCTCTGTGATGTAAAAATTGTTTCAAAGGATTAAGTTTAATGTATAGAAAAAAATTCTAGTGATTCACATCAGAGATCAAAATGAGTACCTAATTATTCACTTATTTTTGTAATGCATTAGACTTTGCATTTACAGAATGAACTAGTATTCAGAGTGCTTAAGGGTATTTTCTGAGATATCTGAATAACTTTGTTCATTAGATGTATCACATATTTATGGAAAGAAAATAACCTGCTAATCTTGAATTCATTTTGAGTCTATATTATATTTTCATGACATATGTGCACTAGCCAGTCTTATTTTAAATTGGAATCTTGTAATTGAAAGAAGCAGTAGATTTCATATATGTTGACAAGAATCAGACAGTGTTCAGTCAATTCCTAACATTCTCACTTCTGTTTTATTCTGCAAAGTGTATATTAAAATAACAATTATTCTAGAATCATAGAATGGTTAGGGCTGGAAAGGACCTTCAGATCATATAGTTCCAATGCCCCTGCCATAGGCAGGAATGCCAATGATTGAGATTGAGAAGACACTTGAAGATGGCTTATTTTTAAATTCAAAAACATTGACACATTGTGTTATACACAATGAAAAGAACTTGACATTTTATTTAAACTTTTTAAAAATAAAATCCCTGTCATTAATAATATTTTCTTCTTCTTTTCCCCTCCTAGGAGTGAACTTCGTATTTTCTCCTTGAAGCTAGGTTACAGCTCAAAAGATCAAGATGATTCCAAATTACTCTACTGAAGAAACCATTAAAAGAATCCATGTCGACTGTCCCGTTTCAGGAAGGCACAGTTATATCTACATTATGGTTCCAACTGTTTACAGCATCATCTTTATCATAGGCATATTTGGGAATAGCCTGGTCGTTATTGTCATTTACTGCTACATGAAATTAAAAACAGTAGCCAGCATCTTTCTTCTAAACCTGGCACTGGCTGACTTGTGTTTTCTAATAACTCTGCCACTCTGGGCAGCCTACACGGCCATGGAGTACCAGTGGCCTTTTGGCAACTGTTTATGCAAGTTAGCATCAGCTGGGATAAGTTTCAACCTGTATGCCAGTGTGTTCCTCCTCACATGCCTTAGTATTGACCGGTACCTGGCCATAGTACATCCAGTGAAGTCCCGAATTCGACGTACTATGTTTGTTGCCAGAATGACTTGCATTGCCATTTGGCTTCTTGCTGGTGTGGCCAGTTTGCCCGTCATCATTCACCGTAATATATTCTTTGCTGAAAACTTGAATATGACAGTCTGCGGTTTTCGGTATGACAACAATAACACAACGCTCCGTGTTGGGTTAGGCTTATCCAAAAATTTGCTGGGCTTTTTGATTCCTTTTCTGATCATATTAACAAGCTACACCTTAATTTGGAAGACCCTGAAGAAGGCATATCAAATTCAAAGAAATAAGACTAGAAATGATGATATTTTTAAGATGATTGTGGCAATTGTATTTTTCTTCTTCTTTTCCTGGATTCCTCATCAAGTGTTCACTTTTCTGGATGTATTAATTCAATTACATGTAATAACAGATTGCAAAATCACCGATATTGTGGATACGGCTATGCCCTTCACCATTTGCATCGCTTACTTTAACAACTGTTTGAATCCTTTTTTTTACGTTTTTTTTGGAAAAAACTTTAAAAAATACTTCCTTCAGCTAATAAAATACATTCCACCAAATGTCAGCGCACATCCAAGCCTAACAACAAAAATGAGCTCCCTCTCATATCGGCCACCAGAAAATATACGCTTGCACACTAAAAAGACTGCTGGGTCTTTTGACACTGAGTGATGTGTCCTGCAGTATGCAGGTTTTGAACAACCTGGTGAACGAAGCAACAAGAATGACAAAATTCATCTGCAGTCCTGAACATCACAGCTTACTGCTCATTATGGAAACATTAGATCACCTCAGGGAAATCATACTGTAAAGATTTAGCAGTGGCCTGTTATTTTACATTGTGAAGAGGACTGCTGGGTTCTCATTTTGTTTTTCTTTACTGAAAGCAACATTAATGGTGGAAAGTCATGTCACAGTTTCTGCCAGCATCCTGCCATTTACTCAGAACTACAAAGGGTAGAGGAAATTCCTAACTTAAGTTCAGAGGTCTTTTTTAAAGGAAAAGCTTGGATAAATTACATTAATTATGAAGGACCTGTTTTGCACAGAGATGAGCTGTTCTGAATTTTGTTCAAGGAGCTGATGGAGCAACACTGCTTGTTTTGTTCTTTTTTTGTTTTGTTTTTGTTTTTTTTATGACATATGTCATATTGTTATATTTATAATATATTTTCAAATATATGCTATATAGAGAGGCCAAATTTTAAACTCAAAAGGAAATTTAAGGTCCTTGAAATTATTCTCATTCTGATTTATGCTACTATTTTAAATTTTAAAATGGCAATTTTTTCATAATATATGCAATAAAATGCAGATTTATTTATTAAATATAGATGAAATATATTTTTAAACCTGTATTCCTACTTGGTTCTCACCCATTGCTTCATAAATGTACATCTGTATCCCAGTGGGTATTTTTATAGCAGTATAAAAGTATATTACACACACACACACACACACACACACACACACACACACACACACACACAAATAGGGTTCACTTAGTCTTTCTTTGTGATATGACACACTGACTTTGAACAACATCACTTACGGAGGTGGTTGACTCCATAGTCTTAGACTAAAAGTAAAATTCTGTATTTGAAAATGATTTCTGGGACAGAGGTGATCACAAAACGAAACTGGTTTTGTGTAATAACCAGTGCACTCAGCAAGAGAAATTACCATCTATTCAGTTTTTCAAATTCCTGGACATTAAATAAACTCACATTCTGATAAGCAAAAATGTGACAATGCTTATATTACAGTTTAGCTAATAATGCTTTTAGTCACATCACAAAACACTTGAGACCAAACTTTACTCTTGGTTTCTAAAGAATTTCTATTTATATAAACTAAGCCTAGAATATTTCTCCCTGTAGAACTTTTTTTTATGTATAGGAACAAATTCATGCTTATACTAGCATAAATCAGAACAAAGGTCTGGATCAAACTTTCCATACAAATGAGGGAGGAAAGGCAATAAACACTGTAGGAAGTTTGAATTAATAATATATGTCATGTCCTTTTTGTCTCAGATAGTGAACTCCAGATTCCTGATTCACACCCTTTTATTGTCTTCACAGATAAACAAGTTCATAAATACTTTCTGACATAACAAAACTGAAGAAAAATTCCAAAACTTTATATATGATGAATATAACTACATGTCCCTTCACAATTCGCAATATTTATAATCTTCAGAATAACACATCTAATGCAGCTTTGTCTCAAGTACCGTGGCTGTCTCAAGTACCGTTATCCATATTGTCCAATTACCAGGCTCTTGCATACACACAAATATTTTGAATTATTTTTATACTTTAAAAATTATTTAAAGAAAACCAACCAAAAAAGTCATGCAATTTAATACTTTTTAAGAAAAAAATGGGACTACAGCCAGATCTGGGAATCCTGTGCCTCTTCTGCTTTTTCATTTACTTATTTTAAGACAAGTTTCTTCAGTTTTGTCTTTGTTCTTCCAGCTGCAGAACAGGGACAATTTCTACTTACATGTCACAAGGTGCTGGGAGGAATCACTAAAACTTCTAAAGCTGCACATTTTCAAAAAACCTCTATTCTTTCATTAAAGATTTCACTTAATTGCAAGCTAGTCTCTCTAAATTTGAAACCTGAATGTGTCATTTAAAGATACAGTTCAATTATTATATAGAATAATTTAGCATGTATCTATCCTTATAAGTGAGATAGCCATTGGTTAAAAATGAATATGGCAATAATACCGTGCATTATAAATAGCATCCAGAACAGTACCACTGCCTCACCACTTGGTAAGCTGATGAGGTACTGACAGAGCTTGCCATTTATCTCTATGATATTTTGGTCATGTACACATGCTGAGCAGCACCAGGAACTTCCCCTGGCAGAAGTAGCTCTGTCTCAGGCATAATTCAGTGTGCTGTGCTTGCCACCTGCTGGATGGAGCCACAAATATGTTTTTCATCTCAAAAGTTGTTACAGGAAGAGGCAGCAGTATTTCCCTGCCTCCTGATGGATCTGGAGATCCTTACCTGTGGGCAAACTCATGTAGAAACAAAATACAAACTTGTCCATCTGGAAGACAGTTAACTTCTTTGACAGGGGTTAAACAAGCTTTTCTTCATCATTTTCTCATCCCTTTGGTCACCAAAATCCAGTGTCCCCAGTGATCACAAAAGGCAGCTCATTTTCAAAACATTGACTGCATTACTGCAAGAGCCATCCCCAAAAGAAAAATATATATGTATAAAAAAAATAAAAATCAAAGCATATTTGCATGAGTGGTAACTGAGAAATACTTAGTTGAAAAGACACATCACCAAGAAGAAAAATAAGCAGACTCAGTAGTGACTCTGAACAATAAAAATGACAGAGGAGAAAAGAGAAGCCATTGGCTAATGATTTTGATCATTTCAGGCTAGATCCTGCATTTTTAAGAGCCTGTGTATCCTGGGCTGCTGGTATCACCTGTGCATACCTGGGTCACTGGGAAAAGCACAAGCATGCACATTTGGCTGTGTTGCTGCAGGAAAGGTAGGAAGGACTTGCAGATGGTGTGCTTTGAAGGCAAGACTGACCTTGAATTGATTAGCAAAGAAAGTGGAGGGCAAAGCTGCCATTAAATAATAGTTGGAAATTTTTGTTCTTCTAAAGGATAGGAAAATGGTCATCAGCTGACCAAATATACTGAATCCTGGTTTAGTGTTTCCTTAAAGGAAAAAAGAACAGGCATATCGATAGATACAGAGATTAAACTCTCCAGCAACTATAACTGGCCAGCAGCAGAGAGTAAACTCCTTTGGAGCACAGAGTCACTGTGTACAGCCACATCCTGCAGTTTCAGGCATCCCCATGAAGCCCCAAACTGAGAGCTAACTGGAAAGTCCCCATTTCCCTCAGCACACCCACACCATTTCCATCATGCACCTAGCTGCAGCCAGTACAGGTCTTCAGAAATAGCTTGATGCTGAGCCTTACGCTTCCCTGCCCATACATGCTGAAAATACCATGTTGGAAAGCTATGCATGAGGCATGCAGAGCAGCAGCATGACAGAGTACACAATCTGGCCTTTGTTGCAGACCTTTGACTCTATGGTCCCAGAGAGGGTCAGGTAAGAGATGGCCAGGACATTCTTTGGTGTAAGAAACTACTCCTTGCCAATGGAGGAGGATGGAATAAGATTTGGCTCTGTATGATTGCCATTTGGGGGGAACTGTGGGCTAAGCCCTCTTAATTTAAGATCAAAATAAGAACTAGGTATATATATTTAAGAACAAACTCCCACTATCTTAAAGAACGCAAAGTTAAGATGCAATAGCATGCTGTTATTTTTAAAAGGAGCATCCAAAATACTTTTCATTCTTGGGATGACCAAAGTAAAATACTTGGCAAACTCTTAGTCTGTCCCTGTGCACCCCTGGTGCAAAGAACTCAAGCCAGTATTAAAGGAGACAGCATACAGCCCTAAGTACAGGCATCGCAACTCTTGTCCTGCCACAGTTATGTTCCGTTGACTTGTTTAAATGAATACTTTCTTTCTACTGGCAGAATAATTACTAAATCAACATTATGTTTGACATGCATAATATTTATTTCTATTTATTGTGTGGTAATATTTTATATGATTCATGTTTATGTTTATATGCCTCATGCTCCGCTCTCTGCTTGCTTGCCTATTATACACCTATCCTAAGTCATTCTGTATGATCTGCACTGGTCAGCCCAAAATCTACAAAACTGTTAGAGATACAGTGGGGATTAATTTGCCTTCTCATTTTAACAGTTTCCTCATGCTTACATTGTTAATCAAGAACATGCAAAGTATGAGGCCAAAAGTCCTTTACTTTACCAGAATTACTATTCAGGCAGTGGGTTTTATCATCTTATGTGGCAGCAGCAGAGAATATAGTGTGATTCCCATGTCTGGTTTAGTTTTGCTTGCATAGCTTCAGCAATGGTTTATCTTTCTGATCTCCTTTTTGAGTGTACTGAAGCGCAGGTATTCCCAGCAAGAAGTTTGCTATGGAAAGGAGAAACATATCTGGGAGGGGGTGGAAGAAGGCCAAAAGCAGGGACTTGCTGATTTGGGGAATATTTAGTGTTAAATGTAAATACTTAATTTTATTTTTGCTATACATTAAAAAAACAAACACAAAAAAAAAATCCACACCACCATAACCGAAAGCAGAAGCAAAGAGAAACTGTTAAGAACAAATCTTCCAACTACGTACTAAAATCTTCCAAAAAGTCTTGAGAGGCTCTTAAGTTTCTTAGTAACATCCTGATCAGTTTGGAACATACCAAACTGTTCTTACCCTGCTGACAAAATCAGGGTCTCCAGGTGTGCTTTTCACATCACATTACAGGCTTGGCCAGACCATCATCCTACCAGCTTGTGCAAAGCGATGAGGCTGTTCTATCCATCGAGTCCCATTTCAACAGCGACCTCACTACAAGGCAGAATTAACAAATCCTCAATGTTAATAGCAGAGCTGTCAAGCTCATTCTTACTGAGGAGTTCTTCAGATGTGGCTGGACGCTTGAGAAATAGGTACAGATCACATTTGAGAACAAAATTGTGTGATCTTTTCAATGGACAAGTGCCATGGCCTGCAGCTTTAAAAGTATTTGGTAAATTAAGTAACAAGAACTAGATACTATTTTCTGTCAAATATTTTTGTGCAGTCGTAATTTGTGAAGTAGTAAATGTTAATGTTTTCTGTTTCAATAGAGCTAGTTTTATATTGTAGAATTTTACTCCTATAAGAACTTTCATTGTCTGAAGCATTACTAAAAACATGCACGTCTTCAACAGATGTCTTTGTGAAAGCCATCTCCACTGCTGTATTAATCCACCCAAAGCAAAGAAATATGTTTCTGTATTGTAAGTACTATGTAAGTACTATGCTATTATCAGTGTATATATAGCTGTGTATCTTAGGCAATATCATCCTTAACCAAAGTATTTCTATGTAATGTGGTAATATTTTATCCTGCCATTCCTTTTAATCCAAAATCTATCCCAGATGTAGTACTGCAGTTCAGCAATTCACTTGTGCTTTACAGAACTGACTAATAAAATTCCCTGGGAGTGAGTATTTTAAAAATCGCTAGTTTTCTTATGTACAGGTTAGAGTTTAAACTTTTTAGAAGCTAAATTAAATTAAAGGGACAGATTTACCCAGAATATTGCATCAATTGCAGGATCACATTGCATTATGAATAGCAGCCCTGAAAAGACAGACTCAGGCTCCTGCACCCAAGTATTCAATGTACATATATCCACTTAGAATAAGCTTTGGTGTTTCTAAGCAGTGCCACGTTGTAGAGTGGCTTCAGTGGAAATGGGATCAGGTT